TCTCACTGAGCAGATGACACGGCAGACAACTTACTGGACTGCTGACTGCTCACTTCACGTGGCACAAACACCTGACAAGTCCATTTGCCCATCTTGCCTTGAAGAAGATGAGACCGTGGAACACTTTTTGTGCTTCTTGCTTGCTTGGTTATTTGTCATCGGTTTTTTTTAACTCGTTCTTTTCTCTATTATCAGTTTCTGAGTTAAAAACTTGGCGGAAAAAGCTTAGCCGTTTTGATGTTTTAAGTTTTGTGTTTTAAAAATGTGATAAATACATATTTTTCGCCTCACTTTAAAACTCGGAGCGATAAAAATAAAAAATGATGCCATTAACACAAATAAACTATTTTACATATACTCCACGTGCAAAGTCATGAGGGAGCCGAATATTTGATGAGTTTATGGTGAAGATAATGTAAATAACGCTAGCGCTCTCAGTGCTCTTAAAAATATAACTCTTCCTAGCGAGAGCGTATTTTGATGTATTTACGAGCTCCATTTTTTAAAACCTACAAGTGTTTACATTATTTTTGTAAATAGAACACAAGAAAATATTTTACTTTTATTTTGGCCACTCTTCACAATTTTCACATTCAATTTTTTACGAGCTTTGGGAATATTTAGAAATGTATCAGCAGGGGGTCCACCGAAACCAGTAAATCTTTGAAAGGGGTCTACGAGAAAAAAAAGTTTGGGAACCTCTGATATTGACAAATGTATACATAAATGCTCAGAATGAATAGAGAAGTCGATTAAGCCATGTCTGTCTGTCCGTCCGTCCGTGTACACGATAACTCGAGCAAAAACTGAGATATCTCAACGAAATTCGGTATGTGGGTTTTCATTAATCCAAGGTAGGTTGGTATTGAAAATGGGCGAAATCGGACTGTAACCACGCCCACTTCCCATATAACGGTAATTTCCAGAAATACGAAAACTGTGATATTTTAGTAACTACTGCAGATAATTCTCTCAAATTTGATATTTACAATAATTTTCAGACGAAAAATAAGAATATTATAAATTTTTGGAATTTTTGGTTACATGTGTATATCTTGGTAACCGCTGCACCAATTTCTTCCAAATTTGGCACAAATGTTGGCCTTGGTACAGCATACTAAATCATACATCAGTAAATATTAAAGCTAATTTATTCAAAATTGATGCTTGCAACAATTCTTTACCAAGAAATACGTTTATGGTATAATTTTGGAAAATGGGCGTGGCACCGCCCACTTATGATCACATATATGTATATCGGTAACCGTTCTACCAATTTGTACCAAACTCGGTACGGTTATTGTGCTTGCCACATAAAAGCAAATCGTTGAAAATTATTGAAATCGGACTAAAATTACGGCCGCTTTTCATATAACGGTAAAGTTCAGAAATGCTTGAAACTGCAATATTTCGAAATTTAAGGACGCTGATTTACTCAAAATTGTTACACCCCGGCTTACCATCTAGCGGTAGCTTTCGGAAAGGTGAAAAACATATATTTAATACTTGCGCCGGGGTATTTAATGTTCGGCTCCGCCCGAACTTAGGCTTTCTTACTGGTTTTTGTATGAAATAGGTATGAGCAGAAAGGCGTGTTACTCAGGTGTACGTGGCATATGAGTAACTTTCTTTCCTGCCCATGTTTTATACAAAAAATCTTTGCGTATTTTCATTTGACCACTCATTCAGCCTAATCATGAGTTTTTTCATGAAAAAATAAAAAAAAACTGGAATGATTAATTAATTTGTCAGAACGGAAAGTGATGTATATATTGTTTTTTTTTTGTTTTAAGCTGAATAACGGTAAATTGCAAATATCTCGAAAACGTATCCATAGAAAAAAAAATTAACTAGATTTTCAGAATCAGCGAGCAATTCTATATAGGAATTGGATAGTGGCACCCATTGAACATTTTTGCTGTAAACCAATGTAATTATTAGGAGAAGATGAACACGTTTTTAGTCTAATGAGACGAAGACCACTTTTCCATTGCTCAATAAAAATTATACACAATATTTAATTTTATTTCATATAATCGTTATGGTCTATGAAATCTACAAAGCACACTGAGTTACACGCACATTGCTCTTATTTTCATAAAACATCCAACAATGTTTACAAGAATTTTTCTTCAAATAAACATAATAGAATGGAGCTGAAAAAACTATTAGTAATTATTGGAAGTCCTTCCAAACGAGGTTATTTACATATATTTCACTAGCAAATAAACTTAATGGTTGTTATTAATGCAACGAAAAAAATTATTAAAAATTTTTATGCATTGAAATTTTTTCATTAGCACTAGATTTGATAATTTAACAATTTTCATTAGCATTATATTTTTCAGAATTAATGCATTGCAATTTTTATTTGCATTCGATTTAAAAAATTAATGCATAAATTTTTTACGTTAACATTATTGCTTTTAACATTGGCTTATATTGATATGGACATACATGTATGCTTTTGATTTACAGATGATGCTGTTAACTTTGAAAATTTTGATCTTTTTACAAACGTGTTATTTAAAGCGAATAGAAGAAATCCCAATGGCTGCCCAATTCGAGGTACATTTTTTGTTTCACATCAGTATACCAACTACCAATTTGTACAAAAGCTATGGAACGATGGTCACGAAATTGCCGTGCACTCAGTAACGTACGTAAAAGACTTACATAATAAAATACAAAATAGATTTTTCTAAAAATATCCGCTACTTACACTGCTCAAAATTAATTTATTTCTCCAGCCATCGTGGGCCCGAGATGTGGTGGTCAAAAAATGCCACTATTGAAGATTGGTTCGACGAAATGGTTGGCCAAGCCAACATTCTTAATCGTTTTGCTAACATACGCATGGAAGATATACGTGGCATGCGAGTTCCATTTTTGCGCGTCGGTTGGAATCGTCAGTTCTTGATGATGAACGAGTTTGGTTTTGTGTATGATGCATCGATGGTAGCACCGTTTAGCAATCCACCACTATGGCCTTATACCCTGGATTATAAGATGCCTCATTCTTGTACAGGCATAAACCAGAATTGCCCCTCCCGCAGCTATCCCGGTATTTGGGAGATGGTGATGAATCAGATGGAAGTGGGTGACTTCACTTGTGGTATGGTCGATAGCTGTCCATCACAGTTAAGTGGAGATGATGTTTATCGCATGCTGACGCACAACTTTAAAAGACATTTCTTGTCGAACCGTGCACCATTTGGATTGTATTTTCATGCAACGTGGTTTAAGAATAACGATTACCTGCAGGC